GTGAGCACCATATCTTAAATGCATTTACTCACCATTAAGAACATATCCATTCCATACATTAACCCTTCTTTTAACAAAAGCAACAGCTACATCATTTGCAGATACATTATCAACAATAATAGTAAAAACATTCTCAATCCCCTACCAAAGCACACAAGCTTCAATAACCTTACCAATTGTCTCGCCCTTATAATTTGAAATCTGGCAAAAAATTATAATTCTTTTATGTAAACGCTAATTACTATCAATGTAATGTGTAGTGAGACACATATAAGACATTTGTGTGGAAGATTTCCAACAATCAGTTGTTAAACATATTCTTTGACCGACCTTTGTTAACTCTTTCTTCAATTAAATTCTCTCAAAACAAAACAACCGATAAACATCTCTAGCAATAGTCACTCTACTAGGAACACCAATTTTTGGTTGGAACTCATGAACAAGTTCTCTAAATCCTTCACCATCTACAACACTAAAGGGTTGTTCATCCTTAAGTATAAACCTAGTTTGCGACATCTTTCTTTATTAAATAACACCTCATTTTCATTGGTAGCAGGAAAGCTAAGAAATTTTTGTTTTTTTATCCTAATGCTATCCAAATACTTCTTACATTGGTTCCTTAAGTGATTCCACAAAGAACTTGTGCCAATTTTCTTGCTATGGTAAATATAGTCTTTTCCACAATAATTACAGACACATCTATAGTCCTTTTTTGAAAAGTGATCCCAAACGTTTGAAGTTCTACCACCCCTTTTCTTAGACGAGTTTGGTTCATCATTGTCTTCAATTTTTGGAGGTTTAGGAGTATTTTCCATAGCTCCTATACATTGTCAATTAAGAATAACATTTTCTGAAAGACAGAAAATATTCAACTGTAAACCAACAGAATACATGGCACAAATTAATAAGGGTCCATCCATTTATCTGCCATCTGTTTTAACTTCATGAATCTTACATTAAAGGTAGGAATAAATAACCACAAAATAGGCAACAAATATAAATAAACCAACATAATACACGCAAAATGCATGAGAAAATCGATTTGTAACAATAAATCAAAAAAATAGGCAATTATAATCGATAGTAGAAACATAAATTAGAGAACCAAAAATACACACAAATACATGAGAAATCGACCAGTTAAAAATCACAACAATAAATCACAGAAATACGAGGAGAAGAAGGTTGTTTACGTGAGGAGAAAATAAGGCCGATTCCTGGTTCGATTTCTAGTTCGGTTCCTAGTTTGATTTCAGGGTCGATTTCTGGTTTTGTCGTGGACGCTGTGAGGATTGAGGAAGGAGGCGTCGGCGCGTCAGGCTAAGGCCGTAAAGGACTAAGGGTTTGTCATGGAATCTGTAAATTGTGATGGAGAAGAAAGACATAACTCGTAAGTCCGTAACTCGTAAGGGACTAAGGTTGTTGGGTTAAGGGCTTAAGGCCTTAAGGGTTACTGGGTAAAGGGCTTAAGGCCTTAAGGTTATAAGCAATCCAAATTCCCAAACACCCCCTTAATTTTTGTAAATATCATATATATATATATATATATATAGACACACACACACATAATTTTATAAAAATAATATATATTAGCGGCGGTTGGCGGGTTGGGTTGGGTTGGGTTGGGTTAACCCAATTTCAACCCTCCTAATTAACGATTTGGCAGGTTGAGTTTAATTGGATTGTTAGTGGGTTGGGTTAGGCAGGTTTCGCGGGTTGATGGTTTTTTATACACCCCTATTTGTTGATTGTTTATACGTGAAACCTAAGTCTTTAGATTGTGCCTTGGTGGTAGAGACTGCTAATGATAGCCATGTTTCGACCACAGAGGTTTTTGATGATTGTAATATTGAAGTGGAAGGATGTGTAGTACCGATTCAGTTGTTCCTTATGCCTTTGGGGGAATTTGACGTAGTGGTGGGTATGGATTGGTTGTAAAAAACCGGCCAGTATAGTATGTAACAAGAAAATGATCTATATTGAATTACTTGGTAAGGGACTTGTTGTGATTTACAGTGATAGTTGAGACCGTTATACCCGTTTGGTTTCTGTGCTAAAAGCTCAAAAATGTATTCAGAAAGGTTGTTAAAACTTTCTAGCTTACGTGATTGATGACAAGAAGGAAAAGGGAAAATCAGAAAGAATACCGGTAGTCAACAATTTTCCAGAAGTATCCCCAGATGATTTAACTAGTTTGCCACCGGATAAATCCATAGAGTTCTGAATTGATTTGATATGTGAGGTCGCACCAGTAGCTGGTGCACTGTATCGGTTGGCGCCTTCTAAATTTAAAGAATTAATGAAACAGCTAAAAGAGTTACTTGACAAAGGTTTTATTCGACCTAGTACATCTCCGTGGGGTGCTCCAGTTTTTTTTTGTAAAGGAAAAAGGACGGTTCAATGAGCATGTATATCGATTATCAGGAAGTCAACAAACTAATTATAAAGAACAAATATCCACTTTTGAGAATAGATGATTTGTTTGATCAACTGGGTGGTGCTAGTTACTTTTCAAAGATTGATGTGTGGTCAGACTACAATCAATTGAAAGTTCGGGAGAAAGAAGTATCCAAAACTTCTCTCCATACCCAATATGGACATCACGAGTTTTTGTTAATGTCGTTCATCAAACCAGATATGGACATCACGAGTTTTTGGTAATGTCGTTCGGTTAGACGAACGTGCCGACAACTTTTATAGATATGATGAATCGGGTATGTAACCAATATTCTTGATAAATTTGTTATTGTTTTTATCGATAATATTCTTATATACTCCTGATCTAAAGAAGAACATGCTAACCATCTTTGTTTAATTTTGGGAACTGTTAAAACATGAAAAGTTATATGCGAAAACTATCAAAATGTGAATTTTTGTTGAGGGAGGTTCAGTTTTTGGGACATTGATAAATGCAAAATCATACACTTTAACACCTAATTATAACTTTATTTCATTTTATTTTACATCTTTCCCAATCCTATATTGAGTCTTTTAGCCTTATTTTATGGTTTCACATTTATTGGAGCTAGGATGTGGGAATGGTACTATTTTATGAATTTGGTGAATAAAATGTTGACATAAGCATTGCTATAGCAGATGTATACGTTGCTGCAGCACTAGACACTGGATATTGGCACAGCTGGCTCAATCCCGTTGAATAATTTGAAAAATCAATTTTTGAAGAAAGGCATCTTCTAGTATTTATAGCAGGCGATTTAGATGGAAGATGTCACTACAAAAATACCTTAACCTTTTATACTAAAACATCTTATGTACTAAGGCATCTTTTCTTTTACCCATTGATTAATAACCAATGGTTATTACCCACTAATACTTTTGATTCCCTCTTGCTAGTATATATATAAGGGTAATCCTTTGAACATTGTAACACTTGGAACAATATCACCTTATCATCAGGAGCAAAGATTCATATAAGCTTTGGGTCCTTGTTACCTTTTTAATATTAATTTGCAGGTACTTTTAAGTGTTCTTCATCACTATCAGTTGCTACAGCAACTTTTCCAGCTTTCTTTTTACTTTTTGTGTAGAATTTACTCTTACGTCATTTCCATTTATATCATTTACTTTAAGCACTTACATTCAGTCATTCTAGCTAAATACCTTATTATTGGTGTAAGTGAAGGTTGTGAGATTACGCCAAGTGTTAGCCGATGATTGCTTTGCTAATAACAATTTATTTTGCTACTCACAAGTGGTATTAATATTTCATCTGGTAATCTTTGACAAATTGACACATGTTATTTTATTCAGTTGAGTTGGAATTAAAATTAAGACAACACAAATATTTTTACTAAGTGTGTTATAGAGACTATAAAGAGTCGCCATAATCTTACGAGTTGCAAAACTATATGGAAGGAAAGGCAAGATCATTACTAGTTTGAGATTGATGCATCACCAAGTGCACTTCCAACATATGGTCTAATATGCATTTCCTTGGAAGGCCGTTCAATCCAGTAGTGTTGTAAAGAGCTATTTATAGAACAATATTATTTACACTTCATTGATGAAATCCAGCCTGATCTTACATCCATACTATCTTTTAATTATTGTTATCGTTCAGTATTTGGTTACCAACTCTCGCAAAGATATTTTTCTCTCTGATGCGTTATTGCTTCCAAACCCTTTTCTGAAATCTCACTTTAAAGTTAACTTCTGTGACTCTCTTTGCATATTAAATCTATGTGGAACGATATTTGGTATCATTTATCATTATTACTTGCTTTGGACATTTGTAAATCATGTATGCTTGCATGATTTACTTGTTTTTAGAGTCTTTTGAGGGTATAGATTCCTCCACACCAAGTTTTTGGTGCCACTGCGAGAGATTTTAGCCAAAAAGAGTTTTTCTTTAAGTTACTTTAAAGTTTGATTTTTCTACTTTCAAGTGTTTATTTTTTTAGTGGTTTATGCCAAGGATACCTCATGGGGTTATTTTCGAGTTAGAATCAGACATTGAAAGAACCTTTAGAAGGAGAAAAGGGTACAAAGAAATTTGTTGCCTATTCTAGCTACTCCTGAAATGGCTCAAGTCAATTATATCAAATCGAGACAGTCGGTTTACTTCGATGTTTTGGAAGAGATTTCAAAGAGAAATGGGGTCACAAATAAAGTTGAGTACGACCTATCACCCACAGACAGAGGTACGGAGTGAACGAACGATTCAGACACTCAAGGATATGTTGTATGCTTGTATTATAGATTTTTGAGGTTCGTGCGAAAATCATTTACCGTTAATCTAATTTGCTTATCCAGTTATCATTCTAGTATTAAGGCGACACCCTTTGAGGTCTTATACGGTAGAAAGTGTCGAATACCGTTATGTTGTAATGAAGTCGATGAAAAGCAACTTGCAGGGTTGTAAATCATACAGTTAATGGCAGGATAGATAGATCATATTCGTGAACGATTAAAGATGGCTAAGGACTGACAGAAAAGCTATACGTCGTAAGTCGATCGGATTTCAGGTTAGGGACAGGGTAATGTTGAAAGGGTCGTCGTGGAAAGGAATTGTTCGATTTGGTAAAAGAGGTAAGTTAAGTCTGAGATATATCAGTCCGTTTATAATCACTGATAGAATTGGTGAGGTAGCTTATTGGTTAGAACTTCCAGCTGAACTTAGTGGTACTCATAATACGTTTCATGTGTCCAATTTGAAGAAGTGTCCAGTTGATACGAAACTGGCTGTACCATTGCCTGAAATTCAGGTTTACGAGAAATGAGTTTTGTTGAAACCCAAGAAGCTATTACTGATTATAAAGTCAAGAGTCTGAGAATCAAAGAGATCAGTTTGGTAAAAGTTCAATGGCGATATCACAAGGGGCAAGAGGCTACCTGGGAATTGGAATATGATATGAGAGGGAAATTAGGTGTTATTTGGTTATTTGTCTCTAGTTAGGGCTTCACCTTGCAACTTTAATTTTTGTAGTGGCATTTAGCCTACAATCGCCTCATTTCTTTCTCTTTACTCAAATTAGAAGTTTTTATGTAATGTATGCGAGCTTTATTTGGTTCTTGGAGTTCACAAAAAGAGGAGAAGGAAATAGTAGGTTTTGGATTCTTCAAGTCTTAAGATTAAGATTCATGTATTTGGTACCAAAGTTCGTTACTTAATAAGAGTTTAACGTTTAATCGTGATCCAGGTGAGTTTTCTAATAAAGCTTTCAATTGAAATGCATGTGTTATGAAATGATTGTAGATATGATAAAGTGTATTATTTGTTATGAAAATATGAGAACGTGGTAAAGTGTATTGTTCTTGTATAAATTATAAATGTGGTGTTTGGGTTGGTTTGACCAACGTGTATGTATGGTGAGGTGTATGTGACGGGGTGGTGTATGCATAGATGAGGTGTATGTGATCGGGTGATGTATATAACGTAGCGGTGTATATTACGAATGTGTTGAGCCAGTTGGGCCAACGATGATTAACGGGGATGTTAATCGGTTTTATCGAACTTACATGTAGTAAACTTTCATATTTGAAAACTATTATGGTTTAATAATTTTGAAAGTTTGATACTTATTGTTTGGCATTATCAGGGATTTTCTCACTAGACTTAGTGATCTAACCCTCATTTTGTCTTTTAAAAATGTGCATTTCAGGGCAGTCGCATCCAGAAGGTAAAAGGAAAGGAAAGATGTGATTTGAGATAAGATGTTTATGTGATGCTTATATGTTGAAGTGGCGTTTTTGTCTGAAGTTGCTTGTTGCATGAACTTATGAAATTGTTATGTTCAAGTCGTTTAAACAAAGAAAAAAGTTTGTGGTAACTTTTACTAATTATTGACGGTGTTCACTCTGAAACCAGTATGTAATATCTTGTTATGACTGAATTTCAGTGTAAAATCGTCTTGAAAGTTAATTTTGTCTATAATTATATTAAAAGTCGTCGTGTTTGACTTTTCTTTAGTTTGTTTGACTTTGACTTTTTCTAGATGTTTGACCCTATATAAAGGGTATTTTCTTTGTAATTTTAGTAGGATTCTCAATTGTAAAATCAGATTTACGTAATAAAGGTTTGACCAAGATTTGGGTGTTGACCTTTTCTCTCTACTCTCATATGTTCTTACAAGAATTATTCAAATCTGCCATTGATGATTTGAAGCTTTCTTGAAGATTGATATAGTGGGATCTACAATTGGTATCAGAGTAGGATTGCAAGAAATCAGATAAGAAATCATCATGTTTTTGAAGAATTTTTCGAAGTTATTTTTCTGATTTTTTTTTCTTCATCGTGTTCTCAAATTTTTTAGAGTTTGATCCAATTTTTTTTTAAAAATCTTGTGTTTTTTTGTTAAAATTGTGATCAATCTGTTCGTAATCTAGCTGTGAATCTTTGTTATAAACAAAGATTTGTGTATTGATCATAAATTTTCAAGTTTTGATAAAATTTCTGGTTTTCAATTTTTTTTGTATTCTTGTTAAGTTCTTCAAAAAGGTTAGTTTTTGATCCATTTTTTGATTAATTCTTTTGTTTTTTTTTTGTTTTTGGACCTAATCCGCTCATCAGCCCATTTGTTTAAAAGGGCCATTCCTTTAACAAAACCCCTTTTGATCATCTCAGATTCATTTTCTTTCTCATCTTTTCTAAATTGGTCGCTCAACAGTATCATACACGAGACAGCCGAGTTTTATTCTAAATCAAAGCTTTCTGTTTCATCCTTCTTAACCGGATCTTGCTAAATCATTCAAGGGTTTGTGCGATTAAGAGTGTAAATCGGATACTTCTTGTGCGATTAAGGGTGTAAATCGGATACTTGTGCGATTAAGAGTGTAAATCGGATACTTCTTGATCGGATTATTTGGTAAATCGCAGAAGCCTTGATTGGATTAATTGGTAAATCGCAGAATCTTTGAGCGATTTAGGCACACATTTGAGCGATTTAGGCACATCTTTGAGCGATTGAGGAATAGTCTTGAGCGATTTAGGCACAAGCTTGAGCAATTAAGAACTATATCGTGTAAGGCTTGAATTGGTTGACCAGATATCATAAATCGCTCAAAGTCTTAGAATAGGTTGACCGGATTCTTGTATATCGTTTGGCACTTTAGTCGATTTAGGACTTAATCAAACTTTCTGTCACTAAATTGGACAACTAGGAACTTGGTTTAATCGCTCACAAGTCTGTCCGGATTTAGCCTTAATCGCTTGATTAATTTCTTAAGCAGTGACTGGAGATTGGTGGGTTGTTTTGAAGTAGTGAATTTAAAATGGGCTTTGAAGGATTAACCAAACCAGAGCCAACTAAGAGATGGAATTAATTTGAGATTTAGGATTTGCATAAGAGAAGGCCAATTTTGTCTTTGTAAAAGAATTGATGAATTTGGTGCTGACCTAATAGCATTTGAAACAGTGCCAAATAAGTTTGAAGCACAGGCTTTTGCCGAGCTACTTGAAGAAGGAATAAACATTCCTGCGTGGTTTTCTTTCAACTCCAAAGATGGTGTGAACGTGGTTAGTGGTGATTCCTTGACTGAATGTGCCAAAATTGTTGATTCATGCCAGAAAGTTGTTGCTATAGGAATCAACTGTACACCTCCTAGATTTATCAGCGGTTTGATTCAAACTATAAAGAAGGGGACAGCTAAACCGATACTCGTATATCCAAATAGCGGTGAAACTTATGATGCTGAACTAAAGCAATTTCCGTGTTTCTGTTTGTGACTGATTTTGACAGCATACATATTTGTTTGTAATTTGATAACTATCATTCTAAATCGCACAGGTTAACAGGTTATCAGTCTTTTGGATTAAAGACTACATATTGTTCTTGTAGGTGCTTTGTGAAGGGAATGCAAATAGGTGGCTGTTGATCTTGATACAACATTTGTTTCAATCATAACTGTTTAATTTGATCTTGGTTACTGTTGACTGTTACCTGGTTCTAAGTAATTAACTGTTTGAGTTGATTGCTGTTAATATTTGTTGTTGATGATTGATGTTTAATGATTGTTGTTTAATGGTTGTTATTGTACTTTAGTTGTTCTTATCAGGTTCTGCTTCTGGTTGGGGATTTCACAGTTGATGTTTGTGTTCGATTTCATTGTAAATTGCTCATTGTAAATTGAACAAAGGTACAAGTCAACTGAAGAGGACTTGACGACTTGGCCTCACAGCTTTGAGTATAGATTGAGGATATCAGTGAAATTCCAGAGGAAGGATTGGAGACGCAGGATTATCTTGATAGAGTTTGTGTAAATAATTTTAGACTTCTCTTGTTTGTAGCTTAATTCTGTTTTGATCTTTGTTTTGGGCTTGTATCTTCTTAGGTTTAAATTTTTGTTTAGATTTTAATTTTTGTTTAGATTTTAATTTTTGGATCATTGTTTAACTGTTTTGGTCTGTGTTTTAAATTGTTTGAGAAATTTTTGAACTATTCTACGTCGCATAAACTATTTTAATCAGTCTTACCTGTCTTTGAATGTTTTTAACAGTTTTCAACAATTTTGACTGTTTTACTGATATTTGACAGTTTTTCTCGATTCTCTGATTTCTCAACTGTTTTTGTGTTTTTCTGTTTGTGTGTTCGATGTTAACTGTATCTTTGATTTCTTTTAGCTGATTTCATCGCATTTGATCCTAAATCAATATTTTTGAAAGGCAGTTTCATTTTAGAGAGAGGATAAAGAATTGAGAGAGAGGATTGCTGAATTGGAAAAGAGGGTAAAAGAATATAAAGAGAAATACATAAATATGTTTGATGAACATTATGCAGATAAGGAATTCTGTTGATCATCTCTCTCAGTGATTTGATGATAATCCCTTTTTCACTTATACGTTGTATTTATGTTTCTGTCTTTTCAGTTGCAGCGATCTTCACTGAGTATGTTCAGTGATCGCTGAAGAACTTGCATTGTAAATCTATCAGAGACAGTGATACTTCAAGAAGACAACACTCACACCAAAGAACCTTCAGCAAACGTCGAAGACTGAAACTAAAGATTAGAGACTGGCGAGTACATGATCTGAAGCGGTATTCAGTGATTACAAGCCTGTCTACATATATGTGAATACTGCTTAAGATTCAGCGAATGATGAAGAGACCTTCAGGTCATTCCAGCATTCAGCGATCAAAGGAAGCTTGCTTAGCACGATTGTTGTTATTTTGTCCTTATACACACAAAGGACAAACACCATACCCTTATGAAAGTTGGTACGGTACGGAGCCGACTAATCGACTCTATTGTCCACCAACTTTAGATAAGGATGTCTGCTCTTGAATAGTGCTTTTGTACTATTCACTGTACCAAAGGACAAGCCTTCCTCTTAAGGCTTGACACGCACTCTAACCCTACCATATTGCATTAAATGTTCATTTAATGCACTAGGTATAAATAGAAGTGTTTCTTCTCCATGCAGAGTGCGCGCAACTCACTCTCTAACCCTAATTCTTACTTCAAGCATTTTCTAGCTTAAGTAAAGGATCTTCTCTACAACAATTCTTTTCTTGTATTTGCTAAGACTTAGTGTGTAACTCAGTGATGAAACTCAAAACATCTAAATCCATATGGGACACACTTTGTGTCCAATATGAAGGAACCACTCAGGTTCAAGAGACCAGAAAGATCAATCTAGTAAGACAGTATGAAAGCTTTCTCTGTGGAAAGTCTAAGATGTGTCTGAAGTACATCAAAGATTTAACTCTCTTCTTATTGATCTTAGGGGTGTCGGTAGGGAATATTCTACTTCTGAAATTTTAACCAAGTTTCTAGAATGTCTTCTGAGTCTTGGGACACCTTTTCCATGTGTCTCAAGATGTCAAATGACATGTCCATTCTTTCTCTTTCTACTTTATACAGGATTCTGCTTAACTGTGAGCAATCTCATCAACTGAAGAGGAATCTTGTAAAAGAATCCAGGGTAATGAAAAGCTCTCCTTTGGCTTTGATCTCTGAGTCTTCTTCAGTTGAAACTTATTCTACCCCTTTTGTCTCTTATCTTCCTCCCGTTGTTATCACGGAGATAGATTCTTCTATCTCTGAGGACATTCCAGAATATGATTTAACAGATTTTGATGAGTCCCTGGCACTCCTGACTAAGTCATTTAGGAGGTTCACCAATAAGAGCAGCTTGTGCAGATCTCGTCAGCTGTCCCTCACGAAAAAGCCAAAGTCTGAAAAAATAGACAAGGCTTCAGCTGTCTGCTACAACTGTCACCGGCCCGGACACTTTGCAGGTGATTGCAGATCAAAGAAGACTGCGACGCCATCTTCTAAAGCTCCTTCCTCCTTTAGGACCAAAGATGAGAAATACTCAAGACTGAAGGAGAAGTACAAGAAGATGAAGAACAACCAGCGAAAGGCTAAAGGCCTTATTGCTGAAGAGCAAAACTGGGCTGAGTCATCCGATGAATCATCCTTGGATGAAGAGGATAAAGCCTACGTCTACTTGATGATCATAGATGTAGATGAAGGATCTTCAGAAGCGTCTACTTCCTCTGAGAAATCTTCTTCTTCTACTCAGGTATGTTTCCTAAATGAACCCTCTTCTTCTTCTAGTCTTTTTGCACTGGATACGATGACGGTTGACCTTTACAATGCCCTCAATGGCAAATCAAAAGCAGATATGCTTAACGTTGATCTTCAAGAGCAATTGAAGATTTGCCATTCTAAGGTCAAAGAACTGACCTCTGTCGAGAAAAATCTTAAAGATCAGGTTATTGTAAACCAAGCCATCACTGTTGATCGTGAGAAGGCTATCGCTGAGCGTGAGCGAGCAATCGCTGAACTCAAGGCCGAGAAAGCTACCATTAAAGGATGGTACAAAGCTTCCATCAAGTCCTCTGAAATCATTAACACTTAGATCCCCGCCAAGATAACGACTGGTCTATGATTCTCCTATGATCAGGAAGAATGTGTTTAAGACAGGTCCATGCTCAAGTTTGGTACCTTCGTCTCTTCTATTCCCAACACTTCTTCCTCTCAGTCCTCTTCTTTTACTGAGAGTCACCTTGAAGGAACTCCTTTGAGTTCTGGATGCACAGACAAATGTAAATCCATTGTCACAGCATCCCTTCCCAAGAAGTCTAACAAGTCTAATAGATCTAGGTCTATTCCTTCAGCTTGTAATGCTTCTTCCTCTTCAACGACTAGGAAATCTGAATCCCATCAGAAATCCAAGTCACAGCTCAAGGTGAACTTTTCACCTAAAGAATCCAATTCCTCAAAGGTTCCTTCTAGAACCAATGAGAAGGGAATTCTTGGAGTTGGTCTCGCTTCTAGTCTGATACTTCATGGCCCTAAAGCTACTTTCAGCTTTAGGAAGTGTAAACACTATGGTGAGAAAACACATATTGCCAGCAAGTGAAGACTTCAAGACATATGACTGGAGATAAATCTCTTCTAACTTATTTCAAGGAAGAAAGAGGACCTTCTGTAACCTTCGGTGGAAATGGATAAGGATATATCAAAGGTTTTGGTATATTAACCAATGGTGCAACAACTTTAAAACGCGTTGCATATGTTGAAGGACTGAAGCACAATCTTCTTAGCATCAGTCAACTATGTGATAAAGATTATACAGTAAAATTCTCAAAGAATTCATGTCATGTTCTTGACAAAGATGATAAGGTTGCTCTAACCGGTTCTCATCTAGAGAATGTATACATCATCAACATGAATTCTTCTCTCACCGAGAATAGCTGCTTCTTCTCCAAAGCCTCATCAGATATTAACTGGTTATGGCACAAACGACTATCTCATCTCAACTTCAAGACACTCAGTGAGCTGTCAAGAAATGATCTTGTCACTGGTCTTCCTTAACACTTGTTTGCAAAGGAATCTCTTTGCTCCGCATGTGAAAAAAGAAAATACACAAGAGCTAGCTTCAAGTTGAAGCAAATCTCCTCAGTGACTGCGCCTCTTCAGCTATTGCATATGGACCTCTTTAGTCCAGTCAACGTGCAATCCCTAGCTGGAAAGAAGTTCACACTTGTCATTGTTGATGAGTATGTCAGGTACACTTGGGTATTCTTTCTMAGATCCAAGGATGAAGCACCTGAAGAAATCATTTCGTTCATCAAAAAGATAGACGTACTAACGATGTTAAAGTACGATCTATCAGAAGTGACCATGGCACTGAATTCAAAAACAGTACTATGGATAACTTATTTAAGGACAAGGGAATCTCTCACAACTTTTCTTAGTGAGAACTCCTCAACAGATGGGGTCACTGAAAGACGAAATCGAACAATCATTGAGGCTGCTCGATCAATGCTTAGCGAATCCCATCTCCCTACTCAATTATGGGCTGAAGCTGTTAACACCGCTTGTTTCACTCAAAACCGATCTCTGATTGTGAATAGATTCAAGAAGACAGCCTATGAACTCTTCCATGGACGAAAGCCTTCCATAAGCTTTCTTCTCATATTTGGTTGTACTTGTTACATTCTCAACAACCGCGACCAACTTGGAAAGTTTGATCCCAAAGCTGATGAAGGAATCTTTCTTGGTTATTCTTCTGTATCCAAAGCCTTCAGAGTATTCAACAAACGAAGACAGATAATAGAGGAATCTATTCATGTCACATTTGATGAATCTCAGTTAGCTAATTCAATACCCATCTTAAATGATGAGGATGAATTAGAAAACTGGATGTTCTCTCACTATGGACAACCTGAAGCTTCTTACAGTGCTCCTCTCAACACTGAATCTCCAAAAGCTGAA